AGCTGACTAAAATTTGTGACCTTTGAACTTGAATAGATGGGAAACAGAAATTTAAAAAGGCAAATAAATATGATGACTGTTTTGTTCCCTTCTTAGATCACTGCAGTGAAGTAACTGTGATCCATACAGGAGGGGAACAAATGATGAAATTAGAATAATTTTAAAAATAGAAAAATAAATAAATAAATAAATAAAAATAATCTAGTAATTATGAAGCTGGATAACCTCACACTTTTTTCTTTTGGGACCATGATGTCCATAACTCATGAAAAGAAGCTGCTTTCTTTCAGTTCCCTTCACCTCTGATGACTTTATATTTTATATTTTTCAAAAAAAAAAAAAAAAAAAAAAAAAAAAAGGGAAAGAATGAATCGGTTCTTAAATATCAGTCTCCCAACACCCCCAGACAAACTGATGTGAAGGTCTTTACAGCAGTGTTGAGTTTGTTTCTAAACCAAAAAAAGAAGAACAATGAGCAGCCCAGACAGGACTAACAATTCTGACTATTCTGTAAACTAAGAGGACTGTGGCCTGCTTTGCTTCAGGATTTTAGTTTATGCTTATGATACCATCAGACGTCTTCTGCAGAGGAAAAACAGCAAAACAGGAACACAGATTTAAAATCAGTGATCCCGGTTTAAAGTAAAAAAAAGTTCAGTTTCTGAATTTCTCCTAGTGTGTGCCATGACCCTCTGCTGGACTGTGAAGGTACTGCAATGATCAATTATTGTAAGTAGAAAGCTACTTTCAGCTGCTCCCTGATTCACAAGGGCCGAAATAGGTTTTATGTCGGATGGTCTTCCTGTTTCAGCCCCTTCCAGCGGATTTATGTCTCCTCCCGGCACTGAATCACTACACTATGAGGCCAAAAAATGTAAATCTTAATTCTAACAATATGTTACAAAATAAAACCAACAGGAATATAACGTTTTAAAAGTCACCTCTTTAAAACTTTTATATGATTTAATGCTGCAGCATGAACTTATAGGATCAGATGCAGTTTTATAGGCTGAGCCAAATGATCACCCATCAATCTTCAGGACCAAAGCAGAATGCGGTTGGTTTAATTCTTATGAGACTCTGTAGGACAAAGTACTTTGGAAGGATTATTGAAACACATTTTTTCTCTAAAAAATTTCTTTGTTTCTTGGATTAGCTTGGAGACCTGTCCAGGGTGCTCCATCTTCAGACAGTAACAGCTGAGTTAGACTCCGTTTGGAAAGTAAAGCTGCAGACAAACAATTAGAAAAGCAAAATGAAAACAAAGGAAACAGCTAGATTTTCTCCTGTGTGATGATCTGAGGTTTGGCCAATGTTTGATTTTCACATGTCAAACTGGGCTTCAGTCTAAAGTCTGGTAAGTTTGGCGACTTTAGAAGAACCAAAAGCACAATGAGGAGATCTTTGACTTTCAGTGGAGCAAATTTTCAATCAGTCTGTGAACAAAGAGAATAATTTCCTTCACAGCCTCATCAATTTTATGTTAACTGTTTAACTTTTGTCCCCTTTTCACTTGGATAGATCCCACTTTTTAGGTTTCTGCTGCAAAATTTCAAAATCATACATTTACTTACCTGGAAAGCATGAACATTTTCTTGGGGTGCAAAACTATAGAATTATTGAAAGATTTTATACATGATGTAGTTTCAGTGTTTGGAACAAAGATGGCGCCATTTCATTACTTTCCTCACGCATGACAAGGAGGAGCGGAGATCAATGACTAAAGTGCCAACCTTTATTGAACTGGTGCTATATGGAGCTCCAAAGTTAAGTAAAACCTGTTTTTAACCTTTTATTTTATCATATTTAGGATATATAAAATAGAATACATTTAAGAGTTCGTATTAATTAGAAATTATGATTCATGTGGTCATTAACTGTGAGGATAAAAAGGGAAAAGCAGATTGTGTCTGCTCTTCAGGTTGTTTTGCCTTGTGATAATCACCAGCTGAAAGGTCAAAGGTCACTGAGCCCAGCCTCTCTGCCTATCTCGCTAGTGCTGGCTGTAAAGGGGTGTGACGAGCTCATTTGGTTCTCAGTTTTACTAACAAATGTTGTTGTCCGGACTTCCTGCCGTGTCATTAGGACGAGCTGTTGCGGATCATGTTCCATTTGACTACAAAGAGCGAGGCTCTCCGATTATTTGAATGTTCTTTTAGGGCTTATCGAAATGAGCTTGGCTGAAAATGTAACGCTGTGGTTTGAGCTCCCATGGTGCTTCAGGGCGTTTACGTCAAAGTTTATCCACTTGCAATAACCCCAGGTGTTTATTTTAATACATGTGGCAACATTTGTTTGAATTTCCAAAAGTATGTGGTCACATCTTAGTTTGAAACAATAACACATGAAGAATAAAACCAGCCTTTTTCTATACAGCTGAGAGGAAATATCAGGGTAAGTCAACATTTTTCCATCTATGTTGTTTTTTGCCTGCTGGTCACTGACTCAACTTGAAAATCAACCGTTTTAAAGAAGCTAAAGGACACAAAACAACAAAGTGTCTACAAAATCACTTTTATGGACCATTAACGTTTAATAAGTTTCTACAGGACGAAGGCTGTAAAGAAAAGCTTTGATGTACATTAAAAGGTAATCCAGGCTTTATATTATAGCTACAACATATGGTACAACTGAAATGGTGGTATTTCCATACTTTGGGTCACATTTTTCTATCCAGTTGTAAGGTAATGTTATATAAACTGATTACCATATACATATCTGTGTTATGTTGTCTTTCTGAAGGCTGAGCATTGATTCAAGTTCAGCTTATAACAAACGTCCTTTGGAAAAAGCCAGATTTAAGGATCTTAATTAAAGGATATAAAACAAAAGCAAAGACTATAAATTTCCTTTTATGCACCAGAAAAACTTTAAAAGTTAGTATGAGAGTATTAAACACAGGCTTCTGCCACTCTTATTAAGATTACAGTTTAATCCAGACTTTATGTTTTGCTGGGTCTTGATGTTTTATGTGATTTTTCCTTGTTTTTCCTCTTCCTTGTACTCATCAGACTGCAAACACCCTCCCCAAAGTTAAAGTGTTTTCCCTGTTTTATTTATTTTAAAGTGTGCTCCTGGATGATTAAACCAAACTGTAGTCGTGTTTTAGCGGAATCTTCTGTGATGTGACGTCTTAAAAGTCCACGTGAGCTGAAGCACTGCAGGATACAGGATACATAGACAAATAAACAAAAGCGTTACAAGTGGTATTAGAAGAGAGAAAAGGGTAACACCGAAGTCCACTGAATGTTCTTACTGTCCACACAACAAGTATTTTACATGTAAACACTTTCATTTTGAGTATTTCCTTTTTTTTTACATTACAGAATAAATATTGCAGCTTTTACTCAATCAGTCGTACTGTGCATCAAAACTCTACATGAGCATGAAAAAAAAGTTGTGTTTTATCTCTAAATTTAGCAGTGGAATGTTTTCAGAACTGAAATAATATGACTACATGCAATAAATAACATTTGATTACAATGGCGATCGTGGCTCAAGAGTTGGGAGTTCGCCTTGTAACTGGCTTGGACAGTCTCAGTCGTTGTGTCCTTGGGCAACACACTTCACCTGTTGCCTACTGGTGGTGGTCAGAGGGCCCGGTGGCACCAGCGTCTGGCAGCCTCGCCTCTGTCAGTGCGCCCCAGGGTTGCTGTGGCTACAACGTAGCTTGCCATCACCATGTGTGTGTGAATGGGTGGATGACTGAATGTGTAAAGCGCTTTGGGGTCCATAGGGAAAGTGCTATACAAATACAGGCCATTTACCATTTAAAGTACTCAAGAGGTGGTAATCAATAACGAGAAAATTCTCCAAGTAAATAGATAATTTTTAAGAAATCCAGCTAAATAATCAACTTGAACATTTATGTTTAAAGTAGTAAATAAATTAGATGAACTCAAGCAGATCAAATACAATTTGTGATGATCATTGAAAATAAATCACTCAAAAAGAGAGAAAGTGACACATGGCGACTGAAACGAAGTACAAAGAAAATAAAAGTTTTGACTATTTAATCCAAATAACTACTTATTTACTAACATGGTCCCTTCTTTAATTAAATTAGGGCATTTAACTTAATTCATTTTGATCTCCAGTTCCTGAAGTTCACTTTCTTATTAATTTATATGTACTTTTTATCTGCATACACAGTTTTAAATACTTGAGAAATGGCAAAGACCACCAATGTGCAACATTATAACCTTAATTTATTTCAGGTATATTGTGTTTGGACTTTTAGAAGTGTGGCTGTGTAAAGATTTAGATATAATAAGGACACCAATCCTCCTGCAGTCCCATTCAGTGTAATAAAAACATGTTCCTACAAATGTGCGGTGTATGGGTCACTGAAGCAGCCCTCACTGTGCTGTATGGGCCACGTGAAGGTGACAAAATACAGATTTTTTAAACACATAATGTAAATATTAAAAATGTTCTAAAATAGAATAGAAATAATCGATGTTTATAAACATAAAACTGAGTGTAGCTGAGTTTTTTTTTGCTCTACTGTAACTTGATGTGATATCTCCTCATTAAGCAAATTTACTGTAACTCACCTTTTGTAAGGTGCAATAAGTTTATTATACATCATTTACATTTTTGTTACATTTACATCAAATAAAGTGAGCAGCATAAATTTCAGCTGCTTTTTTTTTTTTAGTTTTTGGCATGTGTAGAGCACATTTCTTCAGAATTCTGCACAATTCAGCCCTTCCCACAGCTGTTTTGGGTAATCAGATTACTTCAGCAACAGAGGAGTCCTGTGGTTTTCTGTGGGCGGAGGAGGGCAGAGGGGTGGTGTAAACCTGTAAACAGCTCGGGTTTTTAGAGTCTGCCTCCCTTTAGGGCTAATTTCCCCACAGGGAGTTTTTCAGCAGTGAGCACCCCTGGCGCTTCTCTGACTCCTCGCTAGCCCCGCCCACACTATCCCCCATCCCAACCCCCTCTCCTGTATATAAGAAGTTTTGGGAGACTGCAAGCTCACACGGCAGAATGGAAACGCTGCTCGGTGCGCTCACAGGCACGCCTCCCTCTCATCTTCCTCCTCTTCCTTTTAATCTTCTTAATTGCGCGTCGGCACTCCGGCAGCAGCAGCACAGCGGGAGTCACGAGCAGGGCTGCTTGTAGACAGTGAGGATGATGATGATGGTGATGCTCACAGACTGAACTTTGAAGATGCTCGTGGAGGACTCTGCGCGTCTTCTCCGCTCTCTGTGGAATACGTGGAACCTCCTGCGGGGCCGATGCTGATTACCGTGATGCTTTTCGGGTGAAGCGCCAAAAAAACAAACAAACAAACAAACAAACAAAAAAACTGCACCAAACAAACGGATTATCGAGAACTGAGCTCCGCACTGCTGACAGGCTGCTGGTAGCGATGTGATAGAAAGGTCTCCTGCGCACACACCTCCCAGTGATCAGAGCCGTGCGGGCTGCCGTTACGCGCGGAGGCTGCTCTGCGCTTAAGGAGCGCGTTTCAGTCTCCGTGTTTGAACTTTATGATCTGAACTGTGACAAAAAAAAGAGGGAGAAAAGTTTTTTCTGCTCCTCCTCAGACAGAAAATGAGTAGCTGTCTTCTCAGACTGGCACTCCTCGTGGCTTGCGTCCTCTCCATCCGCTGCACCGCTGCGCCCGGTACCGAGGCGGAGGCGCGCACGGCGTCCCGGGACACCTGCGCGTCCTGCGGCGGCGGCGCTCTGCCGGAGGAGCCGGAGTCCGGGCGGCTCGACGGGGACTTCTTAGAGGCGGTGAAGAGGCACATCTTAAGCAGGCTGCAGATGCGGGAGAGGCCCAACATCACGCACTCGGTCCCCAAGGCGGCCATGGTGACAGCCCTGCGGAAGCTGCACGCCGGGAAGCTGCGAGAGGACGGGAGGGTGGAGATCCCCAACCTGGACGGGCATCCGATGAGCAACGAGGTGCTGGAGGAGAGCTCGGAGATCATCAGCTTCGCGGAGAAAGGTGAGGAGTCACTCACGCCTCACTGTTCTCATCATAAAGTCGTTTCTTTTTTAAATTTTTATTGAAACTAATTAAAACCAATCAGATCACCTGTTTTATTTAGGTATGAAAAAAGAGAACACATTGATTTTTCTCTCCGAGGTGGATCTGTGCTTTTGTTTCTATGCAGAAAATAAGTTCAGGGTGAAAGTCTTTTTTTTTTTTTTTAAAAGATAACCCTAAAACTAAAATATTTCCCTATAAAAACTAAGTCTTTATGGACTTTTTAAAAGTATGCAGGTGTGAAAACAGCAGAAATTTATCAACAAAAAGCACTAAGTTTTAAAAACCTTTAAAAAATAGATTTTGATAAATCTTTATGGCTGCAGGTTTGTATAAAGCAGGCAGGACACTTGTTCTCCTAAAATTCAGGATGTGAGCTGATATTTGATGTATGCAGAAAGGATCAGGAGACACACACACACACTGAACTTCCTCCAACTCTGCTGCTCTGTGTGTGTGTTTAAAGTGTGCGTGTGTCTTTATATACTGACTGAGTGAGAAACAACCCAGAGAACATGCTGATGTTGAACAGATGTTGGCGCTAGGACCTGAAAACCCCGCCAAAATAAAAGCAGAGGGGCCAGCTGTAGCTGTAGCTGCTACCTGAAGTTGTTCTGTGAATCGAGAAGCTTGATTTCTTTCTAGAATCAACCCCTGGGGATAGTTTGGGACTGTTTTTGACCCCAGTTAAGCTGTCATCACATGTTGGCTGTTTCCACTGTAGACAGTCTCAAAGTAAACCAAAAGAAATGCTGGTTTTGCCAGATCTAAAAACTCATTTCATGCATTTTCTGCACACTTTAAGTAAAGTTTTGTGATTCTTTGGGCAGATACATTACAAATCAGGCACATTTTGAATGGAGTTTGGTGGCTGTTGCATTCATGTGAGTGACAGAAAGTGGGGACAATCCAAATGTGAGTGCTGTGTTCACTTCCCTGTAAAAAATAAACCAGTGTAAACTCTGCTCGGTGTCGGCGGAGGTTTCACTCCCCGCTGAGAGGCTTTTATGCTCTCAGATGTTTCTCTCTGTGGCCGCTGTGTTGCAGACCTTCCACCTCGGCATCACCCACTTGCCAGTTGGCTGGCGTTGAGCGGCGCTGAGCGGCTGCCAGTGGGGACATGGCACGGCGTCAAGGCCCACAGGAACAGTTTTGCTTTATTTGAAAGGAGCAGGGCTGAAAATGATCAACGACACCACCTGCTTCGCCCACGTGTGTCTCTCAGCACGCTCGCCGTCGCTTCTCCAAAACATCTGCTTTCTACATCAACAAATCACCACTCAGAGTGTCTCTGTGTTTGTGTGCATGTGTGTGCATGTGTGTGTATTGATTATATCATGTGTTTGAGTGTCATTTATCCCTGCCTGTTTTGGAGGATTTGAGCTTTTGTCCAGCTTTTCTGTGAGTGCCTGCATGCACATGTGTCTGCATCCAGGATACTGTGTGTTTATGTGTGTGTGTGTGTGACACAGCAGGCCTGTGTTGAATCAGTCTTCTCAGTATAAGGTCAGAGCTTTTGTGCTGGTTGTCGTGCAGCCTGAATGCAGATTGACGGGCTGAATCCTGCAGCCTGGCACCCCATTAAAACTCATTCCGTGTGTGTGTGTGTGTGATCTAACTGCAGCCTCTAAAAACACAGGGACCCGAGAGCATGGTGTTGGTTTGTTAGCTGCTGCGTCACAGTGACACACAGTTTGGGTTCTGACTTTCAGGCTAACTTTCTGTGAGTGTGAGCTCCATTAGTGGCGATGCCTTCACTTGCTGCTGTATTTATAAGCTCACTAGTGACATTTGGGTCACTCCCAGAAACAAAGGGTCCTGTAAAAATCAGTAGCTGCCCCTGTAGGTGCACCAATGTACCTCTTAAGCTTGACGGTTGGATCTCAGGGCAACTTTGTAGTACAGATTTGCACCTCTTTATATCCACCAGGTCACTGGGGTAAAGGTTAACATTCACCCAAATAAAAAAAGCTTTTAACAGAAAAACACCAAAAGACTTTGTTTGAAGTTCAACATCTTCTACTTTATGAATGTTTTAAAGTTTTTCTTCTGCATGTGTATAAAATAAAAAACAAACTCAGCCCCTACTCTTGCAACCTAGTCACTGCTAACCTCTTAACATCCAACTAGACGAGGGGTGGGCGACTCTAGAAGCTCATATTGACTTAGTAAAGCAAAAGACCAAACAGTTGTTCACTGCACAAGCAAATAACGCTAACAAAAACATTCTCCAAAATGCTGCATGAGCATTTAAATTATCTCACATATTGCCATTTGGATGAAATGCGTGACTGAACAGGTTAGTGATAAAACAGGCTGAACTGGAATCAAGTCCTTTTTTCCTCCCCTCACCTCCACCTGGTTGTGGCAGACGGCTGCCCCTCCCTGAGCCTGGAAACCCCGTAAAAGGGGAGTTTTTTTCTTCCCACTGTCACCAAGTGTTTCTTCTCTGTGGGTCGTCACATTGCTGGGGTTTTTCTACAATACTGTAGAGCCTTTACCTTACAATATAAAGTGCCTTAAAGGGACTGCTGCTGCGATTTGGTTTGAACTAAACTGAAGTAAATGGCAGTTTAGAGTCTCTGCGGTCATTTGCTTTAAGATTGTTTGGCACAATGCTGTCTGTGGTTGGTTTTTCATGGGTTGTTTTCAGGACATTGTTGGTAGATTTAGATGGTCTGTGGGCCGGTTCTAGTCCTCAGGCTGGTGGCAGACATAGAGTTGCATTTCTAACCACATGCTACAAAATACAAGATGTTACCTTCCCATCTACTCAATTCAATTCTGACACATTTAGCACCAAAAAGTCTTGCCTGATGGTCATTTCAGTACATTATGAGGACCTTTTGATCATATCAAATGATCTCCATAAAATAGCAATGTGTAAAATAGTGTTTATTTGACAGTTTTCCCCCTCAAACATGAATAAAATTGCTGTACTGGATGGTTCATTTTTGCCCATTTTTACATATTTAGAGTAAAACATTTTGTAATCAACGTTCAACATCTTATTTAGTGTAATTTGTTAAAGCACAGGATGCAAACTTCATGTTGCTGAAACACACGAGTTTCCAGAAAAAGCACAAGCTCAAAATTTCTACGTCAGGATCTGGATCTTTTAGTATTATTATATAATAAATCACAAAGGGTCATTCATTGTTTTAAAAAAAAGGAGAAGTAACTGAGTTTTAACAGATCTCTGTTGTTTGACCACTTTGACGGCAAGAATAGGATTTGCTTATCTTCCTCTTTTCATTTTGGCGCCACTGATCTCATAACCACAAGCGGGTCAGCATTTCTTGTAGCCACAGATTTCAAATGAAAGACCATTCAGAAAATGTCCAGTGTCAGCAAATGTTTGACAGGAAAACAGCAGATAAGTGAATTCAAATGAAAGTGGTTACATGCCGTCACGTCGGCTTATTTTAGCTTGAAGTTTTAGTTACTGCATTAGAAATTCTTTTTGCAAATTTGCACAGTTGGGCCACTGCCACATCACAGCATGCTTTATTCATCTGTCTCTTAATCCTGACTAAACATTTGTGGCTCTGACCACGGAGAAAGTAAGATAAATAAATATGTGCCAGATGTAACACCGAGCCAGTTGCTGTCTTTCTTTTCCAGCGCATGATGAGCAGTTTATTAAAATAAGCCTGTTTGGACACTTTCAAAGCATTTACCATCAAGCCGAGCTTGGTATTGATACCAGAGTCCTTTAATCTCTGGGTTTATCTTGTCCAGAAGAATCCACGACTTCCTTGGTCCCATCAAAGACAACGCAGCTGGCTCATCTAACAATGCTTGTAGATCTCATCCCCAAACCAACGCCAGCCCGTTCAGACCCCTCCTGCCACTGAGTGCTTGTTTATATCTGCATCACAGGCATTTTAGCTGTCGCTTTGATCTCTACAGTTTAGAATAAGTGAACAAGCCGAGGGTTTTAGCATCTTGATAGAATATGTGGTGACAGACGAACATAAACCACCTGTGAAATCTGTGCCTGGAGCTCAACTTAACCTTTGTTATCCTTTTGTAGAAACTTTACTTTATCATCCTTGATTTTTATGGTGACAGCAGCGGTCTAATCTGCGGGCAGTGTTTGATGTAACAGCCAAGTTGCTGACTCAGAGATGTCCTTGTCTCAAGATGGATGAGGCGAAGCTTGTAGAGTTAGAATGTCTTTCACACTGTTTCAGATTTATGTTTTGTGTACTCACAAGCCTTGTATCCAGTTCAGGGAAGCTTTCATGGTATTTGGTTGGTCTTCTCCTTTTTTTTTTATGGTTAAAGCTCTCGAGGTTCATTCACTGAAGTCTGTGGCCTCCTAAATGCTGTCAGTCTCAATTCATCCTGGTCAGCTGCACTCAGTTCAGTTCAGGAGGTTCAGACCTGATTAATGGCACTAAGCGTCTTCATCTGACATCCGTCAATCAGCTTCTCATTGGGGCATTTAAAATAAAAGCAAAGTTGCAAGTTCTAGGTTTGAAACAGCCACTGAAAGCTCCAGAAGCATCTCAAGATAAATGACCCCAAAATGTAAAACACAGTAGATTGATTAGACCGTTTCTTCTAGTCATGAGAGTGTGGAGTACTGTTTCACTCCACCATCAATTACTCAAGAGTACTTAAAGGATATTTACATGTCTCTGCTCCAGATCAAAACTTTATCCTTCGTTAATGGGCAAACTTGCTTGCAGAATAAATCCCACAAGAGAAATAAATGAGATGGATTGCAATCCATACAAAGCAGCCCAGACCAAACAATCCTGGCATTTTGTTGTAGTTTAAGTACTTGGAATACTTCTAAGACCAACATGGTGGTATTAATCTGTCTAGAGGTATCATTGGGTTTGAGGGGATTTGAGGATTTGTATTTTTCAGTCACAGTTCTTCAAAAGAGCTAATAGTCCTTAAACCTGTGTCCATGTGCAGTGTCTGCACAGTCTCTGAGAAAAAGCTAACGCCATGGAGATAGTCTTTCTTGTGTCTCCTGAGGCTTCATAGACCTGTATTGCTCTGTCAGGCCTCATTGTAAGGACAGTCAGGCTTTGTATGATTTTATTTTCTAAATTAGTAACATATGATTTTATTTTCAGCCTTTGCTTTTGTGAGGTGCGTTTTTAGGTGCCAAACTAACTTATCCCTCTCCTTTCTATATCTAGATCTTTCCAGTCACTTGTTTCTCTTTTCTGAAATGAGCAGCTTCTGTCATCTTCAGGACTGCTTCAGAAGTTTATCAGAAGTTATCTGCCTATACAGCTTACTAGGGCTAATCTTGGAAAAACCCAGAACCTGTTCTCGTGCTTCTTTATTGATATATACTGAAGTGTCAAAACTGATCATTAAGGGTACAAGGGAGGTCATCAGATGTTGCCTTTATGGGGAGAAAGAGTTATATCTTAATATAAACATTTACCCATGAGCTGGTTGTCACTGCCCTTTACTTTCAATCGTCAGTGGTCTTTCCAGATGGCGTATTCTGAACAGTTACTTGACATCATTGTTAATACCTCTGATGTGTTTTTGCTCCTTAGATGATATGGTGACATCCCAGTCCAGCCTGTTTTTCCTGATCTCCAGCGAGGGGAACCAGAACCTGTATGTGACGCAAGCCACTCTATGGCTCTACTTTAAGGTGCTGCCGGCACCTTTGGAGGTGCGTGCCAGGCGTAAGGTTACGGTGAAGGTGTACTACCAGGAGCCCGGCCTTGGCAGCAAATGGAACCTGGTGGAAAAACGAGTGGAGCTAAAACGCAGTGGCTGGCACACCTTTATGCTGACTGATGCTGTCCGGTTGGTGTTCGAGAAAGGTGACAGGCGACAGAACCTGGATATCCGCTGTGAGGGCTGCGAGGCAGAGGGTGTCTTGCCCATTTTGCTCAATGTCCATGATGAGTCCCACCGGCCTTTCCTGGTGGTACAGGCGAGGCAGGCTGACAGCAAACACCGGATCCGGAAGCGAGGACTGGAGTGTGATGGCAGCAGCAACCTGTGCTGCCGGCAGCAGTTCTACATAGACTTCCGACTCATCGGTTGGAGCGACTGGATCATTGCACCGTCAGGCTACTACGGGAACTACTGTGAGGGGAATTGTCCGGCTTACATGGCCGGTGTCCCCGGTTCAGCTTCATCCTTTCACACAGCAGTGGTGAACCAGTACCGCTTGCGGGGGATGAGTCCGGGCTCCATGAATTCCTGCTGCATCCCCACAAAGCTCAGTACCATGTCCATGCTCTACTTTGACGACGAATACAACATCGTCAAGCGTGACGTTCCAAACATGATCGTGGACGAGTGTGGCTGTGCTTGAGTATGTTTTTCCTGTTTACTTAAAGTGGAACTGAAGAACTAAACAGATTCACAATATTACAAAAAAATTAAATATTAAAATATTTATGGACGACGGAGAAAACATGTGCACGCACAACCTCATCCACACATATCTACACACCCTCATATATGCCTGCACAAAAACTTGTATATATATTTATGTTTGTTGATATATTCATAATATGAGTTTGAAGACTTAGTCTCCTGCAGACAGAAATGAAGAGTTCTCTTCCAAATCTTTAAAAATCCACTTGGAAAACAATCAATATCTGAAGTTCTTCATTAATTATCTCTAAGATAATGAGGATCTGGTTTGTTAAATTGTGTAAGACTTACTTAACCTACTAGCCTTTACAAAGCAGCATCATCTGATGTAATTTTCTGCTATCACTCAAGTTGTTAGTATAGGCGCCACTTGAAACTCTTCATGAGTAGAACATAAACCCAACCTTGAATGTTAAAATGCTGTCTCCAGAGGAGGTAAAAGGAGCTTTACATGAGTAACAATGAAGGTTGGGGGGTGATTCTGCTATGCCTCTTTCAAGAGTACTTTGGACAAACACTGAAAATGTCTTCACACCACTCAAGCTACACCAACATACAGCACTTCTGGCTTGGATCGTACAGCACTTCTGGCCTTAACAAAGTTTGTTCCATAATAAGACCTGCAAATTCCAGAAACAGATTTTTGAAATGAATGGAAACATATTCTATATTCCAGCAAACCCCAGTAAACAAGGTTTTTATTACTCCAAAACCATTCAATAATTATCCAAAATACAGGTAGAACTTTGTGAGATGTCACAACTGAAATTCAATGGAATATCTGCTTAGAGGCCATGTTTCTGATATGCATTTCTTCACAGTTTTCCATTAACTTTAGTGCTGATCAAACATTTTGATTTGAAAATTGTTTTACCCAGTAGAATCTGTAGATAAAAAAGAAATGGGTTAGTAGCTTGTCCAATTAATGTTTATACTTAATTAGCACTTAAGTAACACTCAAAGTGTCATAAGTTTATGCAAACTTAATTTTTGACCTCTTCTAAAGACTTTGGATGAGTCAATCAAACGCCTTCCCTTTCTTTTTGGGTTTTGTACCTCTGAACTTAAAAAATACATCCTGTAGTTGAAATCTTCATCACCAGTAGAATCTGTACATCATAAACTAGCAGCTCAACCAAATTCTACCCTTCTTTTGGGGAATATGTACCGTTAAAAGTAATAAACCCCATCTTTCAGGAATCCACCTTAATTTCTCATCAAAGTATGTGTCACATTTTGCTCCAATAAAAATATTTGTATCTGAGAGTAGGGCAATAGCTCATCCAGTCAATATATAATGAGCACCCATTTACCAACTAAAGTTCCACAAATTCTATGATATAATATTTGGTTTTCCCAGAGGTTTTGGCTCAGTCAACCAAGCTTCTATGCTCCCTTCTTAAAATCTGTACTACTGAAAGTAATAAACCCATCTTTAAGGAGACTATCTTACTTTTGCACTCAGGAATGTTCCCTCAAACTATTGCCCCCAGAGAAATCTGTAGATCAGAGGGTCAGTAACTATGAGCTTTGATTTACCATCCGAAGTTTCAGAAATTCCACGTTAGTTTGTTTTGAGACCTATTCAAGATATTCCTGTTAGGGTGAAAACTTCGACCCTTTCTTCTTGGTCTTTGTATCACTGAAGTAAAAGAAAATCCTTTTAGTTGACGAACCAACCTGCTCATTAAGGTGCCAGTCAAACAAATATTCCTTTTCAGCATATCAGGAATGACCTCACAAGCAAGATATTTCCTTCACTTTCCTGCAGCTTCTCCTTGAAATGGAAGGTTTGACCCCTTCCTTATCAAAATACATTTAATGTAACTCTTATTTCCGTCAGTGAAAGTGAAAAGTTGCCATATTGCTCAGTTAAGAGAAGGTGCAACTTTGCACTTCCTGACGCACACTTTGATAGCACTTGCAGATTGAAATGCCTTTAATGAGCCCTACGTGGCACATCTACGCCCACAGTCCTTCTAAAATAAATAAGTGCCGCATGAGCTATGCAATGTATAGTATTTACCCATATATCAGACAAGATGAACTTAAGCTCTAGTGACAAACTATCACCAATACTTGAAGTAAGTGTGGCAGGCAGTGGTGTGTTGGGCTTCAGGTGGGAGGCTCTGATGAAAAAACATTCCTTCTCTTTTAAGAAGGAAACACTATTTATTTTTCTTTGATTTATAGTTAAAGAAGCAACAACAACAACAACAAAAGCAGGGCAACAGTTTGACTTATTCAGTATCCTCAAACCTAAAAATGCACACACCAAATCTCTGTGTATTTGTTTGTTTGGAAACTCCTTCAACATGACCGGGAGTTGAGCAACCAAACTTTGTACACTGATATAGCTTAGATGCCTGAAGGCCCATATATGTATATATATTATGTTGCCTAGCAACTACCTATCAACATGTGAAAATGCCCAATTTTTAGAATATATGCACAAATAAATGCTTTTAAAAGCATTGCATATTTTTATTTCTCAACATTAACATAATTTGTAGCCACAAAACTTCAACATTTTAATGACTCTATCACGCTGCCTGGCAACCACCTACCTAAAATGACATTTACATAGCAGCGAAGGACCTGAGTGTTACAGAGTACCCACAAAAATAGGCTAATTACTGTACGTTAATACATTTTCTCAGAGTGATGAAGTGTATCACTTTGCCAACAGCAAGAACAGACCAAACAATAGCATGGGCACTAGTCAGCTGTTGCTGACTGCTTTGTGGTGTGTGTATCTAGTAAAAACCAATGTTTGGAATTTTATTTAAATAAATGTATTTACTCTTGCAATTTTTTGAGATTTGGTTGGCTAAATATTGAATATGTTGCACAGTAAAATTGAACCAACACAGCAGCTTAAGCTAATATATCTTCAAGTCCAAAGGTTCTTACGATGGAGAAAACTGTCCAAGGACCCCCTGGTACTCCTTCCACCAATATAACTTTTTAGAGTTTGGTGTCAATTGATGTATTGGTGTTGGTTCAAAAATAATATTGGAAGGGAGTAATCTTGCTGTATTGACATAAAAGGTCCACTTCTGCATATATGCACGTTTTACTGATACAGCACACTGTTTACTTTGCATGTAAAATATGAATCAGTGGTTCCAAACAGCACCAACATTCGTTCTACAACTGCACATATAATGTACAAGTTTGTTTCAATGTCATCCGTACATTGCTATACCAGCTCAATCCAATAATCTATTGGAGTTTTTTCTTCTCTTTCATCTAAAAAGGTTTTACTGCCATTAGAAAAATAATCATCTGAAATGTAAAAAGAGGCTAACTGGGGCTAACTTTGACCCAAATGCGATGCACGAATAGTGATTTTTAAATAAATGCATCCCAGCGGAATTCCCATCGCGGCCTGTTTGGCACCATAACACACTTTGAGACACACTTTCAGGCCTCAGTCACTTTGATATTTTCAGGTTAAACGCTTCAGCGACCTGTTATTTCACAACCTCGTTACACATTTTTCTCTTATTCGCTGGGTAAAGAGAAATACCTGAGACTTGATACTGCTCATTATCTCGTGTTTTCTCCAGCCTCCTGCCCGATGCCCAACCCTAGGCTCACCTGCCACTGTAATCTTTTGCTTATTCTTCAAAGCGAATGGTTCTTAGAGTATTTGCACTGAGGAGTTGCGTGACTAGTCATAAAAAAATGAATAGAAACTGCCATTGAAAAAATAAAAGTTATTTTTATAGAAGCAAAATTGAATTCTGTTCAAATGTATTATACCTAATCATGGAACCAAAGAGGCCAAGAGGTTTAGCTATTGAAAGATGGCAATGTTGTCATGTTTTGTTTGTAAATGATGTTGTGACAGTTAAGAGGCCTAAACACTGTATCAGGGTATAGTATCAGTCCATAATCTGCTTAATCCTTTTTCTATTTTGTACCTAGACATGGAATATTTCATATTTTTTCATGAGATGACTTAAATATTCCTAGTTTCCTCGTTTTGTTAGCATCCTTCCATTTAGAGTAAAGCCCACACCATCCAGTCTCTGTACAGTCGATGTAACATATGAATATGCTTTTGAAATATTTTGTTCTTTGTTATTGTTGAAAAATAAAGTTCTTATTACAGATTGTTTGGGTTTGTTGTTGTGAGCACTTCCAGGTATTTAACATTGACGGCTGACGTGACATCTTCTTCTGAAAAACCTCAAGGTGCGGTTAATTTGGATGGTTGCCATGTTTGCCCCTATGGAATGACACGTCTGCCTTCCATGATGTGGGTGGTGCCCCTAAATATCTCACAAAAATTCCCATACTTGTTATTATAAGGAGAGATGATGATGCCTGAGGGTTTTTCCCAGCTGACTGCCAATCATCTCATGTAATACTTGATAAATATTAAACCGTTGTTGGGCACAAGGTGAAACTGTTCTTACCGAAATATTTAGCCATTGCATTACCCAGACCTGTATGAGAGAGTTTCAGCTATTTGTTGGAGTAATGTGCCAAACTTCCTTATATAATGATCTATAATGGATAGATGTAATTAAATTAATTTAAAAAATAGGAAAAAACTGGGCTATGATTTAGAGTAAGTTTCCTCTTAGTATTTTATATTGAGTTACACTTACATTTTTTATTTAAAAAACACATAGTAATTTTTATAAAATGTAGTAGGATATTAAGATTATTCAATTTAAAGCTACAAATTATTAATCCCCACCTACTTTAACACAGTTATGGATTCTAACATTGAGTCAGCATCATGTTTTCTTGGTCACCAGTTTTGATATTTTACATGCTGCTAGCAGTATGTTTTGACATGAAACTTTTGACTAAAATGAGAACAAAAACATCCAATATCCAGACATGCAATAGTGTATTAATATTTATAAGTATATAAGGCTCAAAAACAAATACATTATTACGCTTAATTAAAAAAACAACAAAGAAATACAAACTTCCTAAATTGATTTTAACACTTCCTAAAGCTAGAAAGCCTCAGTCACACAGCCCTAAAGACGTGGTAAAGTCTAAATGTGTATGAGTGGTTGCTGAAATCAGTTACAAAGAGGTACACAGTGCTGAATCAAAAATCTACTTGTGATTCTTTTAGTTTAGTTTATTGTGGCCTACTCTGTTCGGTATGGAAGATGCTGACTTTTCAGCAATTAGTTGATATTTTAAAGTTATAAACAGTTTGCAAGTACTTAGACTTTGAAACGTGTTGTTGCAGTCTCTGTTTCTAGGTTGCAATGCATTTAATGTTTTAGTACCTCTCAGAGAGTTGATGAGTTACTGTAGAGTAGTTAGGGTCTCAACTTATAGTTACCATGAGATCACTGACTGGTCTCTGGGTCATGTGACTGAATGTTTTATGCACTTGGCTAAGTTATTTATTGCAAGTAAAACCCCCCCAAAACAAAACAGCCTCCAAAATCTTGCCGCAGATAATGGCATTGGCTTACCCCATGTTATAATTTTCTTTCCAAACAGGTAAACTTTGTTTTAAGGCATTTGTTAGCTAATCCTATCTGTTATATGTTAGCCAGAGATGGGCAGTAACGCGTTACTGTAATCTGATTACTTTTTTCAAGTAACGAGTAAAGTAAGGGATTACTATTGCAAAATCGGTAATTAGATTACCGTTACTTTCCTGTAGGAATGCTGCGTTACTGCGTTACTAAAACCGTGATTTTTTTGCGAGAATGTCTTATGACAGTGACGTAAGCGAGTGCGCTGTTGGTGACAACAGCTGTGTGCAGATCAACAATGGATCACATATCGATTGTGGGAGAGAGTATGAGCGTGCAGCGTTTAAAGCGTGGAAGTACTGACCTTACTTTGAGTTTGATTCCATAAAAAGTGACAAAAACATTAGCGTCCATCGTGCGTGGGAAGAAAACTTTTTACAGCGAAAAAAACCCCTAAACTTCCGAGCAAGCACCGAGTGCGCAACGACGTAATGGGAAACTCACAGAGAAACTCACGGATTCTTCAACTGACCGCGGCACACCTGCACCAGGGTAAACCTCCGCCAACCCTACTCCTGCTTTACAGGTGAAAATAGAGCAACAGGACCGCTGAGTCTTTGACTTTATTTATTTTCTGCTGTGTTTTACTTGCATCTATTTGAAAGAGTGAGTGTAAACACAAAAAATATTTTATTTTATGTGCTGGAATGTGCAGAAAATAGTTTTAAATGTTAAACTAATTTATTCAAGTCAGAGAATGTTGCATATAATTAAATTTTTGCTTGATGCATAAAGTTTAAAGATTAAAACTGATAAAACAAGTTAAAAAAAGAGACTTTTCCATTTGATTACATTTTGTATGATGGATTATGCAGGAAAAAGTAGAATTGGGCTGAAAGATCTATCGCTTTATCACCTCTTCAGGTTGTAAATCGTGTTTTTAAAAAGTAACTAAGTAACTAAATAACTAAGTAATTAATTACTTTTGAAAATAAGTAATCAGTAAAGTAACGGGATTACTTTTTTGGGGAAGTAATCAGTAATTAGTTACTGATTACTTTTTCAAGTAACTTGACCAACACTGATGTTAGCATCACTGACTTTGCTAGCTAAACTTATCAGTTAGCAACCCAGCGAGTAGTCCATTTAGGCTGAAACCAGCACAAACATCCATGTCAAAAGTAGGAAACTAACGTTTTCTTACCTGGAAATAATAAATGAAGGCACTTTAAAGTCTTTGTGCTCTTAATAGTTATTCTGCCTGTCGTTTTTTTCTTTTGTTCCATCTCTGCAATCTATTCTTGTGTGGACCCCTCTTTAGATACTGGTTTTAGTGAACTAGCTAACACTTGCACTGAGAGCCTAGCTAGCATTGTTCTTGGCACCTCTATAATTTATTGGAATGCAAAAAATAAGCTTAAGGCATAATTTATATACCTGATAAACTAAGACCTTACTTCTGAACAAGATGAAGTAGCATCCGCCTGGACCTCAAAGCCACCACACTGTCTCTAAATTGGATAGACTAGTTTTTGGAGCCAGCCTCAAGTGGATGCTCTTGGAACTGCAGCTTTTTAAACCTTTTGTGTGTGTGTGTGTGTGTGTGTGTGTGTATGTGTTTCACCACTAGGACCAACACAGTATATACAGTGCTGGTTGTCCTTGAAAATTCTCTCTAGCACTGGGAGTAAGAACAGACCAGAGCTCTCTGCACTCACCCAGGCGTACAATGGCTCCAAACAACCCTAACTATATTGAAGCAAATCTCAGCAGGACTTCAGGGGTTAAGTGTTTGACCTTTAGGGTCACATACTACATGACTGGGAGGAGGTACACAATCACCTACTGCTGGTGTTGGGTTGACGGTAAAAACATGATCTTATGCACTTTCTGTGCCTCCGAAGGCACTTGCATAAAGAAGAGGTAAACATCAGGAAGAATAAGAACCACATAGAGGTAAACAGTGTGACATGCAGGTATCAATCATGGTATAACTACCCCTAAAAATAATCTGCTAAGTGTCAGCTGAAGATGCTTAAATGAGAAATGTTTTTGTTAAGTGGTGTCAAATGATATGTTTCAGTGGGAACACAGTTGACTCTTGCTTTGACAGGTGATGAACTGACGAGTAGACTCTGATATTATCTACCACCGCTACAGCCATGAGAAAAGGGAGACAAGAACAAAAACGGAAAGGCATGAGGCAAAGAAAACCAGAAAGTCAGGGACATGCCTGTCAGAGGCTTCAAACTGAAACTCTGGGAAACAGAGTAATGAGTCAGATTATGTCGGATTGTCACTCACTGTCTCTCCTATTAATGATTATCTGCATTTCTCTGATGGATATCACCGTAAACTCAACATGTTTTGGCTCTACACTTAGGACGTAAAGAAAATGTGAACATTTAATCCAATGTAGAAGGTATTAAAGCCAAACATTGATCAATAATGACAATAACTGTTATGACAAACACTTCACTTACATCAGTATGAGCAGCTGTTTTTGTACCACGGATATTAAGGATTGTATGACCTGAAATTGCAAAGCATTTAATGACTAAAATATATCATGACAGTGCTAAAGTTTGCCTCGCTAGGCCTGAAAAGGATGTAAGTGGCCTCAATGACGAGATTTGTGTCCCAACAACAGCGACTCAGACCTTGTAGGGCTAACAGTTTGATTACCGAAGTTTAAATATTTTAACACTTTTATTCCCTACACATCACAAACTTAAACATTTTTTTATTTGGCGTTGTAAAAATAAAATGTGAATTAACTACCCAACAAGGTAATTTTTGGATGCATACTTCTGAGTATTCCTGGAGGCCCCATCTAGTGGTCCGTAGAGGAAATGCAGCTGGAAGCACCAAGCGGTTCAGTTGAGGTTGTAGTTTCATGAAAAATATTTAAAGCCTTCTTCATAATCAAAACAGCCACAAAGTCCAGAGATTCTTCAGACTAGGAGGGGATTACGAGGCATTTATGGGATGTTTTTAGCGCCACGGTAGCGGGCGTGTGGAGGAATTAAGCCGAGTCAATTATAGAGTAAAGTTTGTGGCCTAGTCAGGTGACACGCAAGAGCTGTTTTATCATGTTGCGCAGCATTAGCTGGTCTGCCACAAAACACAGGAATGTTAATGAACGGAGCCCCGGGGCACGCTGCACGGCGCACACTAACCTCAGGTAAATAAGTTGCCGTAACGTTTGGCAGGTCTGACAGGTGAGGAGCTTTGATAGTGTGTTTTTTTTCCTGCTGATTTATGATGAATGAGGTGCAGATGTAATTTGTTTTGGGAGAGGGAGAGGTCATGAATCATCAGTCATACATTTACAGTATGTGACATGTTGGTATTACCTGTTGCCTTGAGAAACGGCTATAAAAAGGGAGCTCACGTGTCTTCAAACTGTAACTCCAACATCTCAGATCAGGTCTTCATTGCATGCGTTTAGCAGAAATGGCTGAACATGAAAGAAATAAAAATGAAAAACATAAGAAAAACACATTCTGTGCCATGTGAACAGTCAAATGATCAAAGAGCTGGTAGAGTGGCATATAGACAGTATACCCAAATATTAAGTTATAATGCCATTTAATGGACCTCAGCCAACTCCCGTTACATAACCTGGCATAAAACAAACTTTTGCAAAGAAGAAATGA